GGGGGGCTCGAGAGGACGATTCGCGTTTTCCGCCGAAGTATTTCCACCGTATGTCAGTCACCTTCACCACCTAACAGAACTATCTCCAGCAAATGGTGCAGAAGGGGTTTGGAAAGCTTCTATAAATAAAAGCCAACCGAATAACTTCACTTAATAGCCAAGACACAGAGAAGACTCCCCACAACTACATATGTTTTATTTGAAATGAAATGCGCAAATAATTGTTTCTGAATTCTTGTCCTTTTTTTGGAGAGCTCTAAGCTTCTTTACAAGATCAAACTTCGTTTTTAAGCAACAAAGGTTGGCATTATCCGTAAAAAGTCGTTACATTAACTTCAAAATCATTAACACTCAAGCGGCACGTTTTCAGATAAAGCGAAAGTATGTCTCAAGAAAGGAAACATAGAATACAGAAAAGGACAAACTAATGAAGCGATGAACTCCTACACGGAAGGACTTCAAGTGAACTGCAAAGATACACGGCTGAACGCCAAGCTTTATAGCAACAGGGCAGCAGCTCATTTTCATTTGGGTAAGAATTCTCTGCTAAAACTACTAAATCCTCCACGAGGCGTAAGATAATGAAATAAAGAGTCTGGAACTATTTGAACTTGATTTATCGACGCCTGAAGTTTTCTCCGCATTTTATTTAAAAACATTGGTCATATGAATATCTTATGTTGAACGAACACGCAGAAATGCTCTGCAAAGAAGCAGTTCTTGAGAAAACCGCCTTTCATCACATTTTTTTAGAAGTTCCTAACTTATAGGTGATAGCAAGAGCCCTCTTGCACGAATGGCGCCCACTCTTGCCAGTCACTGGTCACAGACCTCATATAATTTGAATTTGTTCAAAACAACCATTGCTATTTCCAGTGACCTTTAGGGATTTTATCATGGTTAAATACGGTTGCTCTCGTTGGGTTTCGAGTCCTAAGGAGACGCTTTCGTTTGGGATAACGTGGGGATCCTTTGGCACGTTTGATAATGATGACAATAATCATAATGATATCTGCGATTTAATGGTCAGTGATATTTCGGCGAACGACGTGAACTAAAACGGAGACATCGTCAAATGCGACACCCCAGATTTGATAAAAAAAACTCTTTTAATCACGATTATTTATCAGAACTCTTCGGGAGTACTCACTCTGACTACCAGCCTGCCGAGATGATTCTCTTTGTTTGAGAGACACGCCAGAGACAATAGCTTAGACTATTTCTCAGTTACGAGCAGATGACTTCTCAAACTCATGCAGGCTGAGGTGGGAAAAGCAAGAGATCCTCTCAAAAAATGTCGCAAAAATAATCAAATGTAGTCAAAGCAAATACAACAACCGAATTTTCAAATCCAAGGCAACTACTAATATTTAAGTCAGGTCTTCAAGCTTTCAAAGAACAACACGAAGTATTTTCGTCCTGTAAAACTTTCTCCTCAACATCTCATTCACTGACTGATTTATTAAGAAAAGTGGGAAAATCACAAACAAAAAACTTGGGTATCTGTTGGCCTATTCAGCCTCAAAAACAAAATCCTGCATGGGACCAAAATGATACAATAAAAGCGTTGTGGTGCTTCTTTGATCGGTATTCCTCTCAACAATCATGTAGTGTGTTTAGAATCGTCCAAGATGAACTTTGTGAGCTGAGCTGGGATCAAATTCAGTTAATTACGACCAGTAACCAGTTTTAAAATGCCTGTGTGGCTCTATTCCTTCCGTGTCGTTTGTTGATTTTCGAGTGGTACGAAGGAGGGTAAAACCTAAAACCGTTTTCTTCTTAATTTTACCCAGTAAAATGATTGTCGCCTTAATTGAAAGACAATCCTGGGACAGGCAAATAAACGGATGTTACACGTTAATTACAATTGATGTGTAACGACCACTTACACTTAACTCTTGAATGACATAGGAAACTACGAGGAATGTCTCAGTGATGCAACAGTTTCGGTTCAGTTGGAACCCAACTCAATGAAAGCCATAAAGAAAGGTGGGATTTTCAACCATAGGTTATCAAAACCCTTTCAACGTCTTCGTCGAAAGGGAACTGTGTGGATTACGTCAGTTGACTTCATCTCGGGTGTCAATGATATCCGGAGCGGAAATGTTTGCTATATTGGAAGTTAGGGTCAACAAGGTTGCAGTTTAACCTATATTAATATTGATACCACAAGATAATTTGGTTTTATTAACTGAGTTGATATTGTAAATTGGACACCAGAAAGACAAGTCGAGCGTTAGCCCTTCGTCAGAACGCTCTGACGGAGGGCTAACGCAAAAAGGATTTGGCTCTAAAAACTCTCTACGGCGGCCAATTTACATTGTCAAAGCAGTTAATAAAATTAATTTATTTTGTTATATCCCCCACCGACGCAGCACCACAGTTTCTTTAGTAACGTACCCACTGTATTGGTAACAGCTTTGCATTAGTCCTTATTATTCATTTTCACCTATTCCACTAGTTCAAATTGCCGGAAAAAACACTAAGTCAATTTTCCTATATTTTAGCGTTGACGGTAATGAAACACCTCTTACCACCCACTATTTCCTTCCTTTCAGGAGCCAACGCTTGTGTCAAGCTTTGCTTGTATAAAGAAGCAAGGAGCTGGTTGTACAAAGGATTGGCCGTATCCTTTGCATTGATAAATGTTTCAAACGTAACACGCAAAGCAAAGCAGGCAATATTTACTTACACCGCAATGAGCAATGACAAGGACCAGAGTTTAAAAGACCCTGGTTGGTGTGTCTAGAGGTTAAATCACCGTGACGTCTAAAACTAAAAAGAAAATTGTACTTGGAGAGCTCGTTAAGAGTATTATTAAGATAGTAACTCCACTTTTTACACTTCTACCTAATATTCCATTATTTCTGAAAAGCAAATTTCCTCTAAATGTTCACAAATCTTCTTAGCAGCTATTTATCCTTAACTCGCTTTAAGATTGATGAGAATAACAAGCCTCTGCTAAATTTGCTGGACAAAACCAATACTGAACTAAAGGCCAGGAAGAGAATAAGCTATATCTATCTCGGCTGCGCTTATTCTGAACAGTTCAGAACAGAAATCGAGTACCATCAACATGATTTAGAAATTGCTAAAAAAGTGGGAGACAAGGCAAGAGAGGGACGAAGATGTGCCAGTCTCGGCGGCGCTTATTTGCATCTAGGACAGTTCAAAACAGCAATCAAGTACATTCAACGTAATTTACAAATTGCGAAAGAAGTGGGAGACAAGGCCGAAGAGGGAAGAAGTTACTGCAATCTCGGCTACGTTTATCGTAGTCTAGGAGAGTTCAAAACAGCAATCGGGTACTTTCAACGTTATCTAGAAATTGCTAAAGAAGTGGGAGACAAGGCCGGAGAGGGAGTAAGCTATTGCAATCTCGGCAGCGTTTATCATGCTTTAAGACAGTTCAAAACAGCAATCGGGTACTTTCAACGTCATCTAGAAATTGCTAAAGAAGTGGGAGACAAGGCCGGAGAGGGAACAGGTTATTGCAATCTCGGCGGCGCTTATAATAGTCTAGGACAGTTCAAAAATGCAATCGGGTACCATCAACGTCGTCTAGAAATTGCTAAAGAAGTGGGAGACAAGGCCGGAGAGGGAACAAGCTATGCCACTCTCGGCTGCGCTTATTTTCGTCTAGGACAGTTCAAAACAGCAATCAATTGCCATCAACGTCATCTAGAAATTGCTAAAGAAGCGGGAAACAAGGCCGAAGAGCGTATAGGTTATTGCAATCTCGGCAGCGCTTATGGTCGTCTAGGATTGTTCAAAACAGCAATCGAGTACCAACAACGTCAACTAAAAATTGCTAAAGAAGTGGAAGACAAGGCCGGAGAGGGATCTAGTTATAGCAATCTCGGCAGCTGTTATGGTAGTTTAGGAAAGTTGCAAATAGCAATCGAGTACTATCAACGTCATCTAGAAATTGCTAAAGAAGTGGGAGACAAGACCATAGAGGGAACAATTTATGGAAATCTCGGCTGCGCTTACAATAAACTAAAACTGTTCGAAACAGCAATGAGATACCATCAACGTCATCTAGAAATTGCTAAAGAAGTGGGAGACAAGGCCGGAGAGGGAGCAAGTTATCGCAATCTCGGCTGCTCTTATGCTGGGCTAAGACAGTTGAAAACAGCAATCGAGTACCTTCAGCGTGATCTAGAAATTACTAAAGAAGTGGGAAACAAAGCAGAAGAGGCAAGCTCACTCGGTCTACTTGGAAAATGTTTGGAGTGGGAAGGAAATCTCAAGGGAGCGCTTGACGTCTATGATTTGAGTGTAGAGATTCATGATGATATCATGGATCGTCTTCATTTTAACGACATCTGGAAGATTTCCTATCGCAATCAGCACAAAGATGCTTACACAGGTTTGTGGTTCATAAAGCTAAGTCTAGGTGAAGTTGTTCAAGCTCTCTTTGCCGCAGAAAAAGGACGTGCTCAAGCTCTGAGAGATCTCCTGAGTTCCAAATATCAGTTTGGAGACTCTTCAAAATATAGCAGCCCCTGCGTTTCTTTGAGTTGTGTTCCATCGAGTACAGTTTTCATAGCTATCAGTGGGCCTTACGTTTACTTCTGGGTTGTCCTTGGCAATGGTAATGTCCATCTGAGAAAGGTACATGTCAACAATTACAGATATCAGGATGAACTGGAATTTTTCATCCAGAAGATGAACAGAGATGCCCTTTAGGAGATCGGTGCTAGAAGAGATGCTGTAACCGGCGAGAATCCGCAAATTGATTCGCTGAAAGAGGAGGAAGTGGCGAACGATGTGATTCTAATTGATGTGAAGTCTTCACAATCAACAGCACTGCAGAAGCTATATGATATCATCATTACTCCCATCGGCGATCTGATCGTCGGCAACGAGCTCATAGTTGTTCCTGAGGGGCCATTTTGCCTTGTACCCTATGCAGCTTTAGAGGACCCGAAGTCAACATAGCTAAGTGACTCTCTCAGAATTCGCGTGCTTCCCTCCCTGACGACTTTACGATTAATTGATGATTGTCCAGATGAATTCCACATGAAGAGTGGTGCTTTGCTTGTCGGCGACCCATGTTTCAAACATATCCTTTATCAGGGAAACCGGTTGTCACAGCTTCCGGGAGCAAAGAAAGAAGTTGAGATGATCGGACGGATCTTCAACATTTCCCCTCTAATAAGAGAAATGGCTTCAAAATATGAAGTCTTAAAACGACTGTCATCCGTGGCTTTAGTACACATTGCATCTCATGGTAAAATGGAAACTGGAGAAATCCTGTTGGCTCCAAACACCACAAGAGAAAACACTCAGCCTCAAGAGATGGACTATCTAATGACGATGAAAGATGTCCTACAAGCTGGGTTGCGAGCGCAACTAGTTGTTCTAAGTTGTTGTCACACTGCCCGTGGGGAGGTCATGGCTGAGGGTGTGGTCGGCATCGCGCGAGCATTTTTGGGTGCCGGTGCTAGATCGGTTGTGGTAACGTTGTGGGCGATTGAGGACGAGGCAACCCTGGAGTTCATGAGTTTCTTCTACGATGCACTGACTAAAGGAAAGAGGGCAAGTGAAGCTCTTAATGAAGCCATGAAGTGTTTGAGAGAATCTGGAAATTTCAAGGATGTGAAACAGTGGGCACCATTCGTACTCATTGGTGATGATGTTCAACTGGATTTCAAGGACATGTAGATGCTGAACAATGTAATTACTTTGTCTATAACTTTAATTCAGTACTAAGCGGCTTCAGATCAAAAAGATAGCTTTATATGTAAGCATAAATGTTTCCTTTTTGCCATACACTATTTTTTCCATAGGCTAGCAGTCTCCTTAATGCACAAGGAAACTGAGATGCCATGCAAATGACTCGACACATTTACTACGATAACATTTTTCGTAGAAAACATGAAAGGTTAAAAATAACTTTCGTTTGAACTAATCCTGTTGTGCAGTGTCTCGTTTTATTTCGTATAGCCGAATTAAGGAAACAAATTTACGGCAATTCAAAAGGCTCCCTTAAGTTTGCTCTTTTTAATGTATTTTTTTTATTATCTTTTAGTTGAGGAAGGAAGCCTTGAAGAAAGAAGGCTGATGCAGTGAAAAGTTTCCTACAGATGTTAATGTTTGTAACAAAACCCGCTGGGCTACCGATGAAATGTCTGTGAGAGTCCTCTTTTTAAAACAGGGGGAACCAAATGACGGTTAAACTTAAAAATTCAATAAGAGCCCCTGTGGATTTCTATTGTTTTCAAAAATTGTTTTTCCGTTTTTTAGAAATGCTCTTGGATTTTGGACATATCAAATAGAAAGAACTTTGAAGTGTCTTAATCACTCATGTCTGGTTCAAACTAGTTTATAATGTTATTTTTGTTAATAAGTGATGTCTTGAAATGATCATGACTGGCTAGGTAGCTGTAATCTAATATGAATGAAGTCGTTACCTTTCGTCTTAGTCGAAAAAGTTTTTTTTTCAATTTTTTTTTATCTATTTTTTGCCGTATAGCTGAGTGAGAGTTATGTGCTTGTACAAAGAGTTTCCAAAGAACTTGAAGAAGAATCAGTTGTCCCGCAATTGTTCGATAATCTTAGTTCCAGTCGAATGGAAATGTGTGACTAGCTTTTCGAGGAATTTTACTTAGTTATTTGTTATCAAAGTTATTTTGTGCATCTTATAATTATTAATTCGTTTTGCCAGACTTTGAATGTCTGAATCTAACTTTTATGGCCAAGGTTTAAGCTTGTTTCTACCAATATTTAGAAAGATTTGTCTTTTGCGTTTGATTGCGGTACGTTGTACCTTTTGTAAATGCATCAGATACATTTTAAGAAAGCTGTTAAGAACCAATTGTTCAACTGGAAAACGAAAGGCTTAACTGCGTAATTTAATTTTCTTTTCTTATTTTCGGAAACTGCGTGACAGTTTCAGAGTTATGTCTCATACGAAAGGTCGAGGGGAAAAGTTCAGAAAGTTTAAGTTGGAGCCGGATGATGTTATGTCCAGGCACTCCAATTGTTGTATTGACCTGTTTTTCACTTTCTTTGTAATTGTTTTTGCATTAAATGCTGTTGGTTTAAGTTACGGAAGAGTGGGATTTTGGAATTTATTGACGGGGGTGTGCTGCATAGTGATGGGAGAGATATCTGCCGAACAAAAACCAGCAACCACAACGAAAACAACAAACAGCAACAACAAAATAAAATTTCTGGTATGTTAGCAGCTCCAATCTCCCATGGGGAGAAAAAGCATTGATGAACTGCTTGTACGACCCTGAATCTTATGAGTTTTCGTATTGAAGAACACCTCGAAATTTGCGACGTTATGTCTCGTGATAAGCCGTCATTCTGAAAAAAAAAAAAAAAATCGTTAACCTCCAAATGGCCAAATTTAGGCGTCTGTCGTCAGAACCGCCAGTTACAGCGAATCTCACTTGTGGCTTTATTTTTTTATTGATGATAATGAATGGACCACAGAAATACTATGAGGATATGTTTTGAAGAGGTTAATTGGAACTTAAAAGATTATTACTGTAAAACAAGCTCTCGATTATTTAAAAGAACATTTACTATGCCGGAAAGGGAACTATTTCGGTCAGTGACCTTTCTTCCGATAATGCAAACTTTCTAAAGGGTGTTAGCTGTTAAATGCAAATCTACGTCCCATAGAATATTTCCAGTTAAGGAGCATCGTCGATACAGTCCTATTGCACAGAGACGAATTGTCAGACAAAATAAAGAGCACCTTTCTCCACATATTGAAGATTCTAATATTTTCAAACCGGAAACGATAAGGTGGTTTTATTGAAGTTCTCATCCAAATATATCACGCGAAAACCGAATTCAATAATTGTTTTATCATACATTTTACATTTGCAAGAGAAGACACATTTAATTTGCACAGGCACCGAGCGCCGTTTGTCATATATTGTGAGTGAAAAGTCTTTTATTTCGCCGTTTTAAATCAACACACTTTGCTAGAAATACCTTGTTCGCTTCAGCCTGTTGAGTCCAAATCTTAAACAGGTCAAGGAACTTTTCAAGTACGGGCTGCCATCACTTTTTTTTGCGCCGACGTTTGCTTCTCCAGAACACTGGCCAGTGTATTATTCTTTATACGAAAACACGATGGATTTTGAGTTTTTATAATTTAAAATTTATAATTTTTTTTATAATTTAAAATTTATAATGTATAATTTATAATTTAAAAATCCAACTTCTTTACAAAACGATGCTCATGTGTTCTCTACATGTGCATGTCCAAACGTGTAATACCGCTGATCATTACAGTCGGACCGGTTTTACCTTGTGGTTCCTTCAGGTCTTTCTCCCACCAATAATTATTCAGAGTTTTTACACTTGTTTTTGTTGTCCTCCTAGTGTTTTTTGAATCTTTGTTCACGATAAAAACTTCTATTTCTCCTCGGAAACAGAGGCGAGGCGTTGAGCCATTTCTGTAAAAGTTTGATAACACTACAAGGGCGAGGGGCTTGGAAAGTAGGTAGACTTTGAACTCGACCCGATAACCCAAAATCTGCTGCAGATATTGGGTTATCTTGTCAACTTTACATGGTATTATATATTGACTGAATGTTCTCGACCAATCAGGTTTCTCATGGTAAGGCTAATGTATAATAATATCATATGTAAGAATGAGATGATTTTAAGGCTCAACATAACGGACTCACCGGTGAGTCCGTTATGTTCCTTTTATAGACGGGAGAATGAAATGTTAGAGTGTTTGTCTTCCTCTTGTAACGTAGCAAAGACGTTTAGAAGACTTTCCATTTGTGGCTTATTGACTGTGATGTAAAAACATTCATCCTTTGAAGATAGTGGAGATTGTCTTCGTACTTTTCGAATTGATGTTGATAGCTAAGTATTATCCACGTTTTGTGTCAGTAGATAAGACTCAAAAGCCTTTTTGCTTCTTCTCAGAGCCCCTGGCGATGTATTCCTCAGTAAAATTGTAAAATATTCTCATCGAAAGCTTTACAACATCATTTACCAAGAAAATGACTTCAGCATAAATCATCGAGATTTTCTCGGAAATGAAAAATGCCTCGTTTGCCATTCAAGATAACACAGAAGTAGCTAGAAGTGTCAACGTAAACGAGCTATTGCTAAAGATAAATGCTGTGTGTTAGGGTTAACGTTCGCTATAGGCTACCATAGAGTAACGTGTGCACAGACCAAGTGTTCAACACAACAGCTTTAATAGAATACGTTGAACTTAAGATACATTGATAGATATATCTTAAGATACATTGATAGATAATCACGTGACTGCGGTTAAGGGTCTGCCGTTTAGAATCAAGATTATGTAATAGCTGAGGCATTTATCCAGTAGGAACAAACACTACAATAATACATTTTTGCTTTCAATTAACTCAATCTCAACTCTCGGAAAAGCTTAGACGAGCTGCAATGAACACGTGCGGGTAGTTCCAAGAAATCCGTCCTTACCAGGAGACAAACAGTCAAATCAGACATGCAAAACAGAGAAATATTGATCTTTTATTGATAAAATAGTTCCCTTCCCTGATGCGCTAAACCTGTATTCTTTATTTAGCCTAACATTACTCATATCATGCGATCATTGGTTGTAAAAGCTCATTTTTAGCTTAGTTTAAACCACGTTTGTAAGAGCTGTTGCTGAGATTTTTCACTCTGGACACTAAGAGCCAGTGTTACGCTCAGGCTTAAGGCCAAATCGTAATCGGAAGTCTGGAAAACTATTTTGCGTATTACTTACGTTAAATTAAATTAAGTTCTTTCCTTTGGCTTAGTTGTTGAGATGGCAAAGCTGGTCAAGGCTGACTTGTTTTGCAGAAGGGCGATTAATGATTAATAAGCACCTGTTTCGGACTGAAAACTTATTTCAGGCGCTGAATTTGTAATTTGTTTCCTTGGAGCTCTCTGATTGGTCGTTTTTTTTGAAAATAAGGTGAATGGGGCACTTCTCGTATGAAGTAACCACGTTTTATTGTTGAACACCGGTTGAACTATATTTGGATAGGAAGTGGAGGGTGGGGGGCATTGGGAATGAGGGGTGGGGGAGTGGGAAGTTGACGGGGTAGGACGCAAAAAAAAGAATCACGACAGCTATCCTAACAAGCCATATAGGAATAATTGGGCCGGATCTTTTATTTCCCGAAAAAGACCCACTAAATCATTTGGAATATCAATTTAACTTACGTTTTATTGATAGTACATAAAAGTCCCTAAGCACTTCACTCTGAGGAGTTTTGACACAACTAAGACAATGGTTAAAGGAGTTAAAACACCTGTTCCGTATTTAATCCTTAATTATTAATCGTTATCAATGAAGCTTGTCATCGGATTGAGGTTGCTCCCCGTCTCCTTCCTTTGCTGCTTTATTCTCGTCTGCCGCTCGCTGAGCACGCGTGGGAAAAGTTCCTTTTTTTACTACACGTCGTTTTTTTTCGCTTCAGTGCTCTGAATACGTGCTGCTGCCTCTTTGTCCATCTCCGTCTTTGCCTTCCCTTCAGATTTCTGATTGCCTTTATCGTCCATTGCACAGGTTTCACTAAGACAACAATTGATCTACTGTTTATATCTCAAATTTATCGCTTTTTGTCTAGAGAACGTTACTCCCCGGAAAAAATATAACCCCACTTTGATTCGGTTGGTAACACGAATGGTTATGAAAAATATATATCTTACACATTTTCCTTACCTATTTGAAATGTGCTTTATTCGCCTAGCACAATACAAAGAATAAATCTTTGTTCACAGAGTACGTTACCAGTCTGTGATTACTGAAATCGTGTGGGTATACGTTGGTACTGAATATGTCTATCCAATCATGCTAATAGAGCCTATATTTCTTTCTTACTCTGTTTGCTCAGTGCAATTATGAAGTCTTAAATCACAGACGGTTTGCCCGGTAACTTTGAAGAACATTAACATCGTCTAGCTTGAATTATTTAATACCTGATAGAAAATTTAGACATCGACCATCCCTAGACTACAGCTGAACGGCCTTATCTTTCATATTGAAGTTTTATGACTTTTCCGAGTTTGATAACTTTTCAGATTGTTCCTTTCAGTTCATTAGAGATGAACTAACGCGGGTTGTTTTTTAGCGACTGACGACCAGTTATCAGAACCAAGTTTAGCCGTTGTTTTAACAAAATTGCGTTCAAAGCCATCCTCAATTTAGTCGAACCTTTATTCTCATGAACAGTGTTAAGAGAGCCGAGAGCTAGCAGTGGAAGGACGTGCATTTAATGAAAACAACCCACTTAGAGAAAATACGTAAGGCCCGCTGCTTGCGTAAATACGTGGTTTGGGTTAGACCTCGTGTAAATAACCTTTGGAAAAGGTCTTGATATCAAGACAAATAATGATTCCACCTTATCTCTGTATATAGTAAAAATAGGAGAGAGACAAACACAGTAAATTACTGACGTATTGTAAGAGAGCGGGTATAAAAAGCACGAATTACTCCTTGGCGATTGCACTAACCTCCTTTCTTTTGTCTTCTCTCTGAAACTGTTTACGAGCTTCGTGATATTCAGTTATTTGAATAGCAGAGTTGATTCTCAGAAAAATCCCGTCAGCATAAATTATGATAATGCTTTCTTGGAAACTGAATTTTTTTTTCAACTGGTAATTAATACCGGAAGAAGAAGAAGAATCTGGTGTGCTGGTGACAATGTCCTCGCTAGTTTCAATTCCTCAACAGAAACTCTCGTTAAAATACAACTAAGTTGTCATGCGTATGATACACGATCCTCGCAGTAGATAGCGCCATTTATGCAATAGCGAAAATCAGACCTGAAAAAAAATCAGGCCTGTACGGGACTCGAACCACTGACCTCTGCGATACTAGTGCAGCGCTCTACCAATTGAGCTAACAAGCCAACTGGGAGCAGGCCGTTAAGTTGATTCGTAATAAACCCGTGAAAGTGATAAATGAGATACAATGAATATATGAAGTTCATATATTTTGAACTGCGGTATTAGATACGTATGATGCACGATCCTCGCAGTAGATAGCGCTATTTATGCAATAGCGAAAATCAGACCTGAAA